TACTCCAAACTATCACAGATTGAATTAATTAGGATAATTTATACAGTATGTACAGGTAAAGTTTATTAGTCATTGACAATTCTCTGCTGAAATCACAGATTCACCTTTATACACATGACAATAATGGTTTTTGTTTCATCGTGTGAACTTTTGCCTACTGGAAACATGGTTGCCCAGTACAAAAGGTACAAATGATCTCGCCCCAGCGGTGAAGAATGCTAAACCAGAGAATTTGATTAGAAAATTTAAGATAGTGAGATTGAAATGAAAGCATCTTTTAGTACGTCTTGGTGTCATAATTAGTCATAATTTCTCTTGGAATGAACTTATAGGTACTGAATTTAAAAGGTATAGTAAAGTACTGCAAGAATTCTACTTGAAAAAGACAAATCCTTTTTTTTACCAAAAGACACCCAATGTACTGTATATAAATCACCAATTGCTCCATATTTTAAATATTGTCTGGAGGCTGCTCAAACCTACTGTATCTCAAATGACAGGGGCAGATTTAGGAGGGGGGCCGGGCCTCTTTTGGGAGGTAAAAAAAAAGGGGAAAAAAAGGAAAAAAAGAGAGTAAAAGAAAAAAATGATAGCCCAGAATGCCTCAAATGTTATGTTCGGGCGTCTAGAACACAAAACTTTCGCGGGGGCATGCCCCGGACCCCCTACAACAGTGTTGTCTCAATCGGCCCAACTTTCAGCCCCCCCCCTTCCGGCTCCCCCCTTTTGGACATTTCTGGATCCACCCCTGAATGATGTGTACACACAAGATGTGTTCACTGGACCTGTTTTGAGTAATGATTGCGAGAAGGCTTGGTTCTACCAACCTAAACTTAGGTGAGGAGCAGCTCAAACCAGACCGTAGTGGTCGATGGGAAACAGCAACTACTTTCTCACTTTCACCAAGTAGACACATTGAAAGCAAATAAAAGAAGCACTAGACATGATTCATACCTTGTATCCCCAACCACGAAACAATCGAGAGAGGAATTTTTACCAATGTGAGTTAGCCAGATTTTCGTACATTTCGCAAAATAAGGGAAATACTGTAAAACAAAAATTGGTGAGGCAGAGAAAATGGATGCTCAAGGGGACGAGGAACTAGTAAATTTTTTATTTGGCCTTATGGAATGAGCTTAGTGACAACCTTTAAAACTTTAATACAAAATGAAACTAAAAATGAATTATAATTATTTACAGTAAACAATATATGTGTAGGTCTTTTAAAGATCATTTAGTTAGTTATGTTGTACTTTCATTCAGTAATGTGATTTTATATTGTAATTACTCTTTTGACTTATTTCTGTTTTGTTGATTTAAAATATCTTTCTGGAGTTGTCGAAAAATACCGGCTCCTTTTTATTATTTTAAACAAAGAAGGGCAAATAAACAATTTATTATTCCAGGCATTATTATTATTATTATTATTATTATTAATCCAGAGTCAAAGTTTAGGTGCGGTCCTCAGTGTTAAAGTAAATTTTTAAAAAAAAATCACTTTGGCCCAGTTATCAATTTTTACAGCCACTCTTGCTTTACAGTAGGTTATACTATCACAAGAGTGAACAACAGCCGGCATAACCTATAAAAATTTCAACTCAGGATTGAGACGACCAGATTTGGATTCATTCATCTTCATTATTATTCCCAGTTTAATGGCTGAGTAATACGTGCCTGAGACATCAATGCGTGGTTACAGTTCAAACGAGCAATCTGTTGTAAATTGTAAAATACAAGAGTTCTGTTCACATTAAGCTATTATCATGGTCTTGGACATCATGATGTTTGATTTGAATACTGCAAGCTAAGATATCGTGAATTTTTTTGATACTGTGAGTTCAGAGGTCGTGATAAGACATGATGATGTTGGGCTTAGGATCAAGATCGTCTTTTCTTTCATGAGGTAAAATTTAACCAATCGGCGTTTGACTTTACTAAACAACCAAGGTCGATTACCTTATTTAACATGACTCTTATGTTAAATACATTTTGGTTTAGTAATGTATGTAAAGTACAAAACTGAGTAGAGTTTAAATCTGTAATCGTCAAGGTTAAACGTACATGGAGGTTTAGAGAAAGAAAATAATTTTAGTTCAAACTTGTTTAATGGTCATTGTGGCAAGGACAAGCAAACCAGTCTCTCCTCAAAAACATTGATTTTTTTGGTATTAACACAGAGTTAACAGTAAGATGAAGGTTATAAAATGATAAAACAATCATTTAAATCTGATGTTGTTTTTATGAAGTTACAAGAGTTTGAACATACAGCTATTTAAACAACAGTATTTGAAAAATCAGCATTCAAAGTTTATTATTTTTGGAATTTCTAAGGCAGAAACCATCAAATTGTTAAAAAAATGTTTTAACGTTCAAAACTGGGAAAATAACAACATTACATGATGATACCGTACTTACAGTAGGTTAGTTTAGTGCAATAAAATAGATTTTAAAAAATTTGACATTCCAGCATGTTTTGGCCATTATCTGCGGAACACAATTTCGGAAGAGTGACCGGTTTGACTTGTCTTTACCACATTTAATGTTGCATTCAAATGAATGAGTACCCTCACCATTCTGTATAGTACAACACAGAGCCATAGATAGAGAGAGTTTGGCCAACTCGGTTTCACAGGATTCTGATATACGCCCGTGTGATTGGGTGGATCGCAATCATATGACTTACACCGGCCATGTTGTCACCAAAACAAAACATTGGCGAGCCGCAAACTAACGCGATAGGATATTAAAATCCCATAATTGAATTGTCCTCATGAACAGAATAATAAAAGAAAGTTTATGCAGCATCAGTGTTATAAAGTGTTATAAAGCTAATACGCGCGCACGCTGTTTGGTAACAACATGGCGCCATGCGCCAAGTTGGCCAAACTCTCTCTATCTACGGCTCTGATACAACAGAGGAAACGGAGCCACCGTAGTTAAATGGAGTTTGGTTTTGGCATTAACATACAGTATTTTATTGTGTACAGTAGCCCACAGTACAGTAGAACAGGGGTTTGTGTATTTTAGTTTATTTAATGCAACTGTGACTGCATGTACAGTATAATTACAAGTATTTTCCAGCTATATTTCAGTTTTTTAAAAACTATTAAAATACATACTAATTAAGTAAAATTATGTTTAATAAAATAGAATATATACTGTAATTAAAAACAAATTGTGCTACAGAAACATGTGACAATTATGATATTCCTACGAAGGGGGTGGGAGGTGACATGTTTATTAACTTAAATTAGCATTCAGTATATTAAGGGCATGATGTGGTTTTTGATCTGCATGATTTGCACAAGTTTATGGTGATTAACATTATATTGGAGATGTAAGTTTCTGATGTTCGATGTTAACAAGGTAAATGAATGGATTTTACTGTACCATACTTTGTATGTCTGTATCTTAACCAACTGAGTTTGTAATTCAGTTTTTACTACCTTAACCTGTTTCATGTTTCTATACCTGAATTTGTTCAATAAAAGTTACCAGTTGTTCCACAATCCAGATTCCAGTAAATAAATAAAAAAATTGTCACTGAGTGTTTTTCTGTCATCACAAATTCACTTCTAAATATATTAATTGGTCATTGAGTACTCTACTATCACAGATACACTATACTCTACAGTAGAAGGGACGCGAGTTCACGTCCGGCTGGGTTCACTCAGAGCACCAAGGATGTGTGTCCACACGCCCACACTGTCTAAAAGATACCACTACTGTAGTATTTCATGTAAACATGCTGGCAGTGGTTGCCAGAATGTGAAATCTTCCCCCTGGAAATTTAGGGAGGAACCAGGAAAAGTTATCAAAAAATAAATACTGTATGTTTGTTCGTGTTTGATTACAGTTGATTGGAATGATTTTTATTATGGTGGCACCCTTTATGCCTTGGTGTATGGTATGAAACTAGAAAAAGAGTCTTGGCAGTTAACATGTTAAAATATTTTAATTGTCATTATAAAGTGTTCTGCTACCATGTCATAGATTCACCTTATAAAATACATTTGTATACATTTTGTCATACTAATAGGCTTGTGGTTATATTGGATTTTAGGCCTTACTGTCACTTGACATATTTTAGTGCAATATTTTCTTATGCAAAACTTTACGCAATGTAGCAATTGGCTATGATGTAAATCTTACTGCAGTATAACCCTTGAATGAATATATTTTAACTGTAATATCACAGATATTGTACTATTATTATTATTATAATTCTAATAAAATTGTAGATTTATTACTGGAATCAATATATTTTAATTGTAATTGAAAATTCTGGTACCATCAATCTGCATATCAATCACTAAATCTTAAACTGAAAAGTTAAAATATTTTTTTAAATACATTTCTTAATCTTACCAAAAGATCGATGAAGTAGCAAGCATTTACTAATAAACTTTAAAACAATCACGACTTTATGATCCTCTTGTCAGATTTAAGCCCAACTTTTAATTTTCCCTTGCCATTGCAATGTAGGCTCTATAAAACACCACCCGGGGTGTTGATTGTTTAGAAGGGTTTTTGAGGGGGAGTTTATTCAAGGGAGGTGTTTAATTTTTTTGGGTGTAAAATAGGATATGGATATGCTCAAATAAACGGCCCTTAATTTTACTGTAAATATGGAACTATAACACATACTTACTGTCAAAATGTGTTATTGTGTGATCATGAAGACTGATCCCAAACAAGTTAGAAAAATGTAATTCTACTGTGGTAGAATATTAATAGAATGTGTTGAAATGATGTTGCTTTCATTTAGTTTTCATTACAGTCATTTAAGGGGCGTTTATTCGAAGAAAAAATTAATGCCTCAGGGAGTTTATTCAAGGGAAGCGTTTATTCCAAATGAGGCTCTGGTGGGGGTGTTTGTTCAAAGCGAGGTGTTTATTCGAGTAAATGTGGTTTTTGTTAATTGTTTTGTTGTTGAGATTTCTAGATACAGTTTTTCTAGAATTTGCTGTACTGATGATTTATTTATTATTTCTCTATAGGTGTTAAACTATAATGATAATTGGATGGGAAGTGGCCACTTACATCCACTTGCTGATTTTGGTTGCTAGTATTGTCAGGTTCTCCACCATTTGACTTGTAATCAGAGAGAGAACGAAGTGATTACCAACACTGGATTTTACACAACATACTTCTTGTGAAAGTTGATCTGAAGAACTCTTCATCATGAGCAGATACATGGCTCGTAGCAAGAACCCTCTAAATGAGCGTTATTTCTTTGGCCGTATTACAAGGGAACAGGCTGAAGAGCGCTTGAAAGAAGCTAATTGTGGTAATGGATACTTCCTCTTACGAGAGAGTCTGCAAAAAAATGGCAGCTACGTTCTGTCTTTATACCATGGAGATGGGATTTACCATTACGCTATTGACAGACAATATGACAACACAGTTGCGATTCGTGATGGAAAAAAGTTCCCTGGCCCAATTGAGCTTGTTCAACACTACAAAGTAAACGCGGACGGCTTATTATGTAAGCTGACAAAACCTGTCACTCTAAAACCGGGCGAACAACCGCGAGCCTTTGATCAAATGTCTCACAGCGATCTAGATCAGCAAATTATATCAGTTGGCGAGAAAATGGGAATAAGTGTAAGTTTTTTTTTTATTATCTCTAGTTTCCACATCTGCAGCACTGTATCAAATGAGATAATACGACCGGTATTAATGAAAGTATTCATGTGAGGTAGAACTGTTGGCTGATTTATCCATTTCTGATTGCTGTGAGCATTCGACACCGTCTGTTGTTAAAATCAACCAGCAGTACTACTGTATCATTAATAATGATCCATTGTGCATCATGTTTTTTTATGGAACTGCATCGACTGATGATAGTGCTGTGAATGCCCAGACATTTGAGAAAACATCTGCCATGCCTAAGTGTGGTCATGATGACATCACATCATGACCATTTGAGTAAATTTGACAAACCTTAAATAAAGCCAATCATTTTAATAATAATAAAGTAATAAAATTTTGGACCCTTGATGCTTTATAACCAAGAAGCACATAGGGCCAAATAAAAAAAAATACTAGTTTCTCATCCGAAGATTTTGGAAAAAGGAGAATTTTTTAAATTCCGAGATGGCAAGGGCCCGACAGGGGAGGGGAATGGTGGACCCCTTTGTTGGTCAATTCCTGGCACTGTCCCTGAACGTATCATAAAATAATCTCATCCAAAAGGATCCTTGATACCTTATTCCCTCTGGTATAAGCCCAACCCACTTGTGCCAATTTTTGCGGTGGGCGTACACCCGGGAAAATCTCCCTTTCAATAAAATGAAAATTTTTTGGCGCTGTATGCCTAATTTCGAAGGCAATATTTTTTTTTTTGAGAATATTTGTAAAAGTCAAAAGTCATACCCTGGGCCTTTGCTCGAGGAATGGCTGGTACAGACAGTAATATTGGGCATGAAGTGGGGGGGGGGCTTATATTCAAGGTGGGCTTATACATGAGGAACTATGATACAGTAGTACAGTGAAGATTGGCTTTCCACTGTCAGAATTAGAACATTTAATTCATTTGCTTTCATACTTTCTCATACCAATTATATCTAGAGCGACATAATTGAAACAGCCATGAGGGGAGACAGAAAGGGCCAATTTGTCCAGGCAATCAACAGCGTGTTACACCAAACCCAACCATGGTTCCATGGCAAATTATCAAGGGAAGATGCAGAGAAGAGAATATTGAGGTCAAGGCCAAAGGATGGATCTTATCTGTAAGAAACTAACAATTGTATGATAACATACTTTTAAAAAATTTTTTTGATACGTTGTAGAACTGATTTTTCTAAGACACTAAAAAGGATATTTGATGAAAAACTCAGGAAGAAAGGATGAAATGCAGGTGGAAAAAGGTGGTTATGCCTCTTCTCCCCCCCCCCCCCCCAGGTTTTAAATATTTAAAAATCTGTATCTCATTAACCAACCTGTCTCTTATACACATCTAGATGTGTATAAGAGACAGGGGTATATTGTTTGTAGAATTATAATCATGGTGTCCAAAGGAAGATTTGAACTGTAGTTCTGCAATACCAAGGCATGGTTTGCAGATGTTTATGACTAAATTCAATTCACTTGCACCGATTACCACTAGAAGGATCCCACTGAAAATGCCTTTGGACTTTCATGGTTTATCCTTGGTGTTTACACCAAATATGTCTATATCCAAATTTGTCATAAAATTTTTCATGGGTATTGAGTATAAAGCTTTACTTCTGTTATTAATTTTTTTTTTTCAGTGTTCGAGAACGTGCCGAAGAAGGCACCTTTGCACTGTCATTATTTTTCGGAAGAATTGTGTACCATTATAAAATAGACAAAAATCACACAGGTGAATTATCAATCAAAGATGGACCAAAATTTCAGAGTTTGATGCAGGTAAGATTATAGATGAAAAGTACATATTTTAAACTTCAATATACAAGTAGGGAGAAAAATTCACTTTGAAACATAATGCACTTATTTTTTTTGAAGAAAAGTTTACAAATTTAAATGATTTAGTTATATATGCTTTCAAATAGATTTGTGATGACGTTGCAAGTACATTGGTCCATTGTATTGCATATGATTAAAATGATTCTTAGTTGAGAGATGTATTATTACTATCTTTGCATTCATAAAACAAAATATGTATAGAAGAATGCTCTTGGCTGCAGGTTGCCCCCGTCCATGATCCAAGCCCTATTTCTTGTTGCAAACTTATTACTGCATATTTTAGCCATGATAAAAACATGGTTTGGCATTGTGTAGAAATGCCCTTTATCAATACCTTAATTTATTTTATTCCATCTACCATAAACTACTGTACTGTAAACGTTTGGAACTGGTGAAGAAAATTTCTGTATTCTAATTATCAATTATAATACAATGTTGGGAATTCAAATATTGTATTTTTTTTTTATTCGTCAAACCAGATAATGTGTCTTTAACTCATATACGGTGTATGAATCTATTAATACACACATAATGATTAATGTCTGGAATTACTGAAGTAATTCTAATCCATAACTTCCTCAAAAGAAACAATGTGGGTGTAGACCATGTGACTGTGATTACAGCCAATGATTCACCAGTCTGCCCTGCTAATAATTCCCAGATTCACAAATATTTACTATAGTGATAACATATAAAGTTTAAAGCACGTGAATTTAGGGAACAGCTCCAAATGTCTTGCAGTTGAAAATTGAAATACAAGTAGATGTTTTCACCAATTTTTTTAGCAAATTTCTATAATAATGATTACAGTATTATAATAATTATTCTTTATTGGACCTCATTTAAATTGGAAATTTAAGCTGGGCTCCAGGGGACCCACTGCAGCCGTAGTGCAAACAGTGGCGCGCCAGTGGGGAGGCAGGGGGGTTAGAGCCTCCCATCGGACAAGTTTAGCCCCACCCCCCACCAACCAAGCTCATCGGGAAGTCGGACCAAAAAAAAAATTGAATATAGGCCTACACCAAGCCAAAACATGTCTTCCACAACCATAGAGTGCCATTTCAATCCATGTAGAAGTCCTACTTTCCCCCTCCTCATGCATACAAGTTCAAGCCTGCTGTCATGTGTCCTAGAGCCGCCACTGTGTGCAAGGCCACCCGACTTGTATTGCAACATGTAACGGACACATACGGATACATTGTCCTTAACCCGCCTAACTCTCAGAGTGAGGGTTATTTATTTGGGGAGCCAAGCGATGAGACTCAAATTAAAACATGATGCTGGCCGGGTTTGAACCAGGCTCTTCAGCACAAGAAGCAGGAACAAATCCCTCTCTCTCAGCCAACCGCTCAGCTCTCAGAAACAGGTATAAATTAGTTGAACTGAAATCCTTGATAACTGAACCGAAATAATGCAAATTGATAAAAAATACATTACACATCTAAGAAAAAAGACTAAATTGTAAACATGTTTTCGGGTTGAGTTCAACAACCAGTCACTAGTACAGTACGGCAGGAAATTAGAAAATAAAAATAAAGCCCTTTTCTTCTGGACTATATGTAGTTAATTTGTAATATTACAATATTAAAAAGCATTATACTGTAAAAAGGAAATTAAATTTAAATATTAAAAGAGCTTTGCAATGATTTAGTATTAATAGACAGTTTGTATTACCTTTATCTTTATAAATTTAATTTTGATTAATCAACTTTATAGGTCCAGCTTAATATTTATTTTCACATTGCTTTGTGCTGTCAGAGGGTCCCAGTTGGTCAGGTTCAGCTGGATGAACCAGCCTTACAAAATATTCTTGAAATACATATAAATAAATTTTTGAGAGAAAATTTGTTCCATTGGGAATACCATTCAGATTTCCTACCAACTAATCATGAATTCATCATGCATTAAGAAACCAACATCACCATCATTATCAATATAATTATGATTAGTCCATGCTAGCATGGGTTGGCCTGTTTAGCGTGATTCTGTGCAGTTTTAAGAATAAGCTTGTAACAGTTACAAGCTTATTCTTAGCTTACAGAGATCATTGGCAGCAACTTGCTTCTAAGTCTTCCTAGGCCTTCCTCTACCTTTGGACCCCTCACCTTCCATCACCCTACACTTCTTGAAACCATTTAGAAACAATTTTTAATTTAGTCTATTTTTATACAGAAAGAAATTTCTCTGCACCCTCTTTTCGGTTCTGGGTTTGCCTCTCGATTAGCACTTCATCAGTGATGTATTAAATTTTTCCTGGATTAATAACTTAAGTATGAAAATGTGGACATGGCTTTAAAGATAAATTGCCCATGCAAAATAAAAATGTGTATTGTAGACATTTTAATTTCATTCTATATTTATTTAATTATTATTCTTAATTGCAGATGATTGATCACTACATATTGAAGAAAGATGGCCTGCTTTGCTGTTTAACTTTAGCATGCTCTGAAATGAATACTAATCGATTGTCAGGTAGTGAAGTAAAATCTTCATCATCATCATTCTCTAATGTTCCACTTAAAAATAAATGATCATAGCAGGTTCTATTACTAGATTTCATTAATGGTACAGTAATTCAACTTCTAGGATTTTACTAAGGATATAATTGTATATTTAGAATGATTGTATTTTACAAATTTCTTTAAAAATAAGACATTTTGAATCTATGCATAAATGCTAATCCCAATAATAATCATAGCCCTACAGTACCGATCACTATCCTTATAGTGTCATAGTCTGGTGTAAGTCTTTGCAATTCTGCATCAAGGATTTTACTATGAAATTGTACATTTAAAACTATGAAAGTTTTACAAATTGGACACTTTGGTGGAAAGATTAAACCCATTGGCAGGTTAAGGGGCAAGAGATAGAGAAGAGAATGTGCTGCATGATACCTGTATAAAAGCAATTTTTGCACTAGTATTGATATTATTTTACAATTTACTATGCTACCCCCCCCCCCTTCCCTGGGTCAGTGCTTTGCACGTCACATGGCCCCTGCCCAGATTTTTCTCGGGATCAGTTCCTAAATCTATTCATACTGTAGCCTTGATAATGGATTCTGATTCTACCTAATCCTAGTCCTGGTCAGTATTATAGTTCTATCTAATCCTTTGTATTCATGTCCATAGTTCTAATCCTACATAGTCCTAATAGTCATATTAATAATCCTATCTTAAATTATTCGTAATCATTGTCTTAATCTAAGTCCTATAGTACCGGTCGGTACTTATACCAAATCTTTACTTCATCACACGATGTACATTTAACATTTGATTGTTTTTACTTTACAATATCAGTTCCTGATGTAAGACCTTTGAATTCGTCAAATTTTGGAAGTATCGGTAATCGTCCAGGATCAGCGTCAGATATTAGCTTACCGCCTAGAGAACCTCCCCCAGTGCCGCCAACATCAAGAGTAAGTCTTCTTAGTATATATAGAACTGCTGAGATATGGATTGGAGTGTGTGATTTAGTATAGGTAGGCTTTGAGCTTAAGTATTGTCTGTACTGTGTGTGGAATTGATTCAAATCTAATCAGTAACTGTAGTTTGGACTTGAGTAATATTAACAATGCTTAATGTCTTTTACCTCAAATTGCAGTGCATGTATGCATTGGTGCTATGGTAGTAGTAGTAGTAGTAGTAGCACAATAGTAGTAGGAGGTTGTAGACAATGCTGTAGCCAGCTATTGGGACAGTTGAGACAGTCCCAGACAGTTTTTCTATTGGGTCCACAAAGAATGGATCCACATTTTTAAAATGGGTGCAGATTTCTCATATTTTGTGTGAAATTGACCAAATTTTAAGAAAATGGGTCTAGATATCTCTATATTTTGCATAAATAGGTCAATTTTTAAGAAAATGGGTCCAGATTATTCATTATTTCGCGTAAAATGGGTCAAAATTTTAGAAAATGGGTCCACATTTATTTGAAATAAGGCGTAAACTAGTTTTACCCTGATATTGTCCCACACAGTTTGAATATTCTGGCTACGGCATTGGTTGTAGATTCAAAGGCCTACAAAAAGACTGCACATAAACTTACACAAACTTGTGCATTTCTTGGACAACATGTTTTTGTGGGACTAACGCATATTCCTGGCTGTGTTCTCTAATTATTAATCAGTTATTAAATTTGATTGACACCCTAGAAGAGTCCACTGATTTGACTATTTTATTTTAAGAGATATTATAAAGATAGACATTTTAGGATCAGTTTGAACCTATGTATGGTCCTAATCCTAATAAGAAAACTTACACAATCTTTTGGGATAATCGCATATTCCTGGCTATATTCTAATTGGTCAGTTGTTAAGTTTGATTGACACTCCGGAATCGGAAGGATCCATGATTGATTTACCAATTTTTAAGAGATTTATAAATATAGAAATTTTAGGATCAGTTTGAACCTATTCATGGTCCTAGTCCTAATAATAATCCCATTCCTAAGGTACCTAATTCTACCTAATCCTAGTCAGTATCGTCATCCTATCTAATCCTTTGTTATCCTAGTCCTAAACACAGTTCTAATCCTACATAATTCTATCTTATTTATAATTGTAATCCTACCTTAAATCATTCATAATCTTTGTCTTGATTCTAATCCTGTGGTAATTATCCTACAAAAAACTTTACCCAACCCTCTAACAGTGCACATATGGCATTGCCGAACTTTCTTTACTAGATGAAAAGTTACACAAACAAGGTTATTTTATAGTTGTTTTAATATACTTTTTTACAAATATTCCAAAAATTTGCTGTAATTCAATGTAATTTTGATTTGCTACTGATGCTATTTAATATACGAAGGCGTTGTCTTGTTCAATCAGAAAAATACAATTCAAAACCAACTCAAAAAACAAAAGTGCTCACACCAATCTTTAGGTTAACTCAGACTGTATTTGGTATAGTGTGAAGACCTAATTCTAATACAATTATTTCTGATTGGTTGGTTCTAAACTTGATCACCCAGTGACACCCAGTGATTTCGTAATGTGGTATTTCCCAACAAAGTACCATCCATCACCTAATGATGTAGTAAGATCCTGGGCCTTACCATAATGGTTACCACAATTTCTCCTACTGTGATTACCACATTTCTCTTACTGTACTTCACCATATGGTTGACTGACCAAGCAGACCTAGAACCACCATTGCTATCCCAAATTATATAAGTATTAAAAGAAAAACAAAAGTATTAAATTAATAATAGGAAACTTTATATTAATAATGTATGATGAAGTGTTGGGTATGGGTAAAGTGTAGAATATTACACTTGTCCTATGTAATATTTTGTCAAAGTGTGAATCAGGTCTTAGTCCACTGGTACAGGTATAGTCATTTATAATGCGCCTCTTCCTTGAGGTTATAAAGCGCACTTCTTTTCCCTTGTCATTGGGTCCACATGCTTTAAGTGTTGCTGCTGGTATTCAGTGCAGGAGCAGGCAACCCCACCACTAGGTACCCATTTATACTCCTGGGTAGAGAGAAGCAATGTAGATAAAGTGCCTTGCTCAAGGACACAAGCGAAATGCACAGCAAGGGCTTGAAACCCCAACCTCGAGGTTGGGAAACCAAACCGTTCCTGCAGCGCCAAACTGCTAACCATCCTTCTTACACGTAGTCCTTAACTTTCAGTGGTCTCCAGTTTAGAGCAGCACAGACTTAGGCTCTGTCCATTGAACTGTTGTATGCCCATATATAGTCATGATGTGCCTATATATGGTCATGATGTGATGTCATCATGACCGTATTTGGGCATGTCACATGTTTTTTGCAGTAGTTTTGTAGATTTTCATTTCAGTTTTGAAACTGATGGTAATACTTTTTCAGTCAATGTGTTTGATGTTGAGGTTTGCCCTACTTTACACGTTTTCTTTTCACTTCTTATTCCACATTTCCAGCTGCTTCCTTTTAATCTATTTTTTGATTTATCAAGAGATATTCAATTTTTTAAAAGCATTGTTTGTTTTGTAGCCACATGTTACGGAGACTGACCATGGGAGAGGACATCCTCCACCAGTTCCACCACCAAATAATAGAGGTTAGTGTTATTTTAAAAGCCGGCTCAAAAACTGTCATGAGTAATGCTTAGCTTGAAATAAAGTGGTCATATGTAAAAGTATCTTTACAAAAAACGAGTTTTTGTAGTACCAAAATTGAAAAAAGAATTGTTTGATAAATTTAGATTGATGATATTATAAACCATAGGTGGACAGATTGCGGCCTGCGAAAATGAATTAAAAACCCTATGTGCGTGGCCCTCTAAACTGTTTTGACAAGAAAAACCTTGTTTTTTTACGGCCTGACACCGATCATCTGTTAAGAGTAAAGTTAAAACCTAGAATAAAGTGGTATAAAAGCAGTGCATAAAGTTTTTTAGGAAGCACACTGTAAACACCAATTAAATAAAAAATTGACTTTGGCCCTCCAACCAATTTTTATGGCCAACCCTGTTATAAACCTAATTTTAGTCTTTGAATCATGTTCCTAGGCACAACCAAAGAAAGTTTTTGAAATTACATTAAGTATTTTTATATATTTATCTGTATTTTTTCAGGTGCAGCCTCTCTGAATTCAGGTTCTCTTGCTGGGCGTAATGTGATTGACAAGCGTTTGTATGGCATTCCAAATGATCAGGAAAAAATATATGATCACGTTGCAAAAACCAAAAAGACCAAGACTCTCAACCGCGAAAATCTGTCTCTGATGAACCAACTTGGTAATTTTTTTTTTAAATTTCAAAAAATTATTATTTGAGGCTGGCCATTCAAAAACCAACGTACTGTCACTAAAACTGAGTAATTAGTATAAGACACGATGACGACATGACAACGACTTATCATTGCGTAGTTTGTATTCTGCGCATCTGTATTGTTTCGTTGTTGTGTTGTAATCGTGTCTAGTGTGAATGTAGCTTAAAGCTAAATGTGGAGGATATGGATTAAAAATCAAATTTTCTTGCTGGTTATGGCATGGCCAACCCCATTTATGAATGACATAATCCATACTATTGTATTACAAACACATTTTCATGTCATCAGAAGAATAAAAAAAGACAGTTTTGCCTCAAATATTTAGTTTTGAATTCCTTAATGTGTAGAGCATGTTTTTTTTTTTTTGCATTTTCTTATACGCTTGTGGTTTGGTTAATGATAGGCATATATGACTGATGACAAAATGTAATAATAATAATGTTATTAATGATAAAACATAACATACTGTATATACTTGCATATAAAGGCGATCCACATATAACACCCCAAGTTTGAGAAGATTTTTGGACGATTTTTGTATGTCGGGCTTATAAGACGACTCCTGCTTCGGTTTATGGTCTTGAAACTAGATCTAGCTGGCTTAAAACTAAGCCAAATGCAGCGCTAATTTTGCAAACAATACCATTTTATGAAATTTTAAATCTTATTTCCTGTATTTAAAATAGCTTCATTGCAGTAGTAAATTTGCTTGTTGTGGACAATACACACATAAGGCAAAAAAAAAATCAAAAATTTGTATGTCGTGCGCAGAAGATAACCCCCCCCCCGCGGTTTTTGATCGTAATATGCTAATTAAAACCTTGTCTTATACGCAAGCAAATATACGGTAATATATATGAATTAAAGAATTTATATGCAAAATTTGAATCCAGATTTGTGCAATATATGTTAAAAATATATATATTTTGAATATAGGAAAAGGAAATTTCGGGTCTGTATTAAAAGGAACGTACCGTGTGGATGGACGCGATGTACCGGTAGCGGTCAAAACTCTGAAAGATGTTCAAGTTGTGCAGAACGGCAGTGTAAGTTTAATGCACATTTCTACTGAGCCCACCCTTTTGATATTGTTGCTAAAGCTGGGTTCTCACTGAGTCACGACCTTCATATGACAAATCCAACTCCGCTCCCTGAGCGCTTGATGCCGTGACGCCGTCTGTTGATCGTCAGTGGCATTCTGAGCTGATCGTCATTAAAACCGTTCCGTTGCGCGCACATCCTGCTGTTGTGTCCTCCGTAGAATTGCGTCGGCCGACGACTGCCGGGCACAGTGAGTACCCAGCTTAAGGTTCTACAAAACGATGGTGTAAGCATATGCATTAGTGGGGCAAGTACATATCCCCGGCCCACGTTCTGATTGCTCGGTGGTTAAGTTTGACTGACACTGTAAAAAGCTTTTTGACAATAACTAAACAGAAAAGTGGGAGCAATTGGCGCGGTAGTTGCGTTACGGTCTTTCAACTTGTAGTTGGAGGTTCGAACCTTCGCTGTGTATTTCGCCTGTGTTCTTGGGCAAGGCACTTTTCTATGTTTGTCTCTCTCTACCCAGGACTATAAATGGGTACACTGTGGCTCACTACTGGGGAGGAAAAAGGCAACGTGGAAAGGAATTGGCCACCCTACAACACAATGCCATGGCTTAGTGTGATGTTCTAATAGCTCATTCCTTAATGTTCAGTAATGAATACGGGACTACTTTTACCTTTACTTAGGAAAAATATTCTTTTCAGTAAACCAGTATGCATACATTTATATATTATTATTATTATAACAGAATTTAATTTCTATAGCATAATTTTATTTTCATCATATAGTTATTGTACTGGTCTCTCTTTAATTGAAGACCCCTCCAGTTACAGATCACCTCTAATAATAGATCACATTTGAGCAGCCTCAAGTAAACACCTAGGCCTATACTTTATCTGGATTCTTTTCTAACTGAAGCTACTAAGAACCAGGAAAACACCAGTCCCAAAATTAGCCATTAATTGGAGGAGGACCGGTACTTTCTATTTGATATTTGATGTATAAAGAAATACAATCTTTTTTTTTTTTATTGTAGTCTGAAATCATTCGAGAAGCTGATTTGATGGCAGATTTAGACCACCCTCATATTGTTCGTATGATTGGCGTATGCAGAGGTGATGATATGATGCTTGTTCTGGAATTGGCTGAACTCGGTCCTCTCCACAAATACCTTAAAAAACATCAGTGAGTCATTTTTCATCATTAAAAAAAAGTTTAAATAGAATACAAATAATGAATGTTCATGAGTGCGATGGGAAGAATATTTTCATGAGTTGAAAGATTGACTGTTCCATTTGACGAGGTGGAGTTGAGTTGAATGGAACAGTCAATCTTTCAACTCATGAAAATATTTTTTTCCATTGCGCGAATAAAAATCATTCATTATTTGTTTTATAACCCACCTAAAATAGATGTCATTTGATATTTTATGAAAAACATCTACCTTTTTTCTATCTAAATGGAGATTCTTATAATTTGATAATTTGTAAAATAGATCTACCCTTTTTCTAAATGGAACAGTCCAGCATCTTTTTAACCAATCAAAAGATTGTATTAGGTAGGGACTGTGCAATGGGAAAAAACAAATGAAAAGAAAATGCACGGATGGAAATAAATTTCAATGATGAGTGAGGAAATGGGGTAAATAACCAATGTCACATGATACGAAATCCACTAATTAAATGACAGGTGATATATTTAGGTGTTTTATAAATATAATATAGCGCGCCGTCTTTCGGAAGAGACATTCAAGCTATTGGTCCTGTGTACATTATAGCAAGTGTACATGTTAAAGAACGCAGTACACTATTTGAAAATGAGTAGTGGATTGTCTCCCAGTGTACTGCCCAATCAACACCAGAAGGGCCCCACTGGAAATAAGGCTTCTTCAGACTTTCATGGGTTATCCTTGGTGTTTACACCGAATATATCCATCCATTGAATTGAAATGTGTATATTCTTTCTATGAAGGCATGTGACTATCCATAACATTCTTGAACTGATGTTGCAAGTTGCTCAGGGTATGCAGTACCTAGAGAGTAGGCAGTTTGTCCACCGTGATCTTGCTGCAAGAAACGTCCTCCTTGTCTCAGAAACATTCGCCAAAATTAGTGACTTTGGAATGTCAAAAGCACTTGTAAAGGACAATAACTATTATGTGGTATGTAAACTTTCTTGTTTTATCTTTTTTTATTGCTGCAGAACAGTTTTATATACTTCATATGTTATTTGTAAATTACAAATAGTGAATTAAATGATATTATTTATTTAATTGTTCCACATTTTATTCCTTTTCAAAGCTTCTGAATACTACGTTCATAAAAAACTAAAAAACCCAAGTTAAAATGTGCCTCCTGTAGAGAGGCTACTGCCATTATTCAGCCCATGAAATTATGAAAAAATTAGGTCGGCCTTAAATTCTCCGAGGTCGGCAGCCTCGGCAATTTTTTACTACCTAGGCCTATATAGTATAAACTATGATTTTTCCGAACGCTCGGCCTTACATCGTCATCTACAGATTGTGATTTTGTTAAAGCCTAGGCATAGCTTTACTATACGAAAGGTTAGACGAAGATATTGCACTATTTTAGGCCAGGGTATTTATTTTCCAACATTTAATTCTAAATTTTCGATATATTTTTTCTTTATTTTCATGAATTTTTCAAAAATAAAAAATAAAAAAAAAATCAAGGCGGGCGAAAAAAACGATGCGGGCGGGGACGCGAAACATGTTTTTTTTTTTATTTGGCCTTATGACAAACATACACGCATGATACTTTACACAAACTAAATCTCAATATGAGGTTTAGGGAGTGAAAAAAATCCTGCAACACTGACAGGAATTGAACCCAGGACCCTGGGATTGGAAGGCAAGCATATTGACAACCAAGCCATTCTTCCCCACTCCAAAGCCATTCAACTCCACTCCCCAAGCCATTCAACTTTACTGCCCAAGCCATTCAACTCCACTCCCCAAGCCATTCAACTCCACTCCCCAAGCCATTCAACTCCACTCACTTTCCAAGCAATTCAACTCTGCTCCCTAAGCCATTCAGATGTATTCCCAAACCATTCAACTCCCCTCTCCAAGCCATTCAACTCCACTTCCCAAGACATTCAACTCCACTGCCCAAGCCATTCAGATCCACTCCCCAAGCCATTCAACTCCACTCCCCAAGCCATTCAAATCCACTGCCCAAGCCATTCAAATCCGCTCCCCAAGCCATTCCACTCCACTCTACAAGCCATTTAAATCCACTCCCCAAGCCATTCAACTGCACTCCCCAAGCCATTCAACTCTACTACAACATACAAACTTGAAAGAAGCAAAAAAATTATTTTAATAAGTTAAATTCATCATCTGAAAATAAGAATGAATATTTGTTTATATTAATACTGGTCAGGTATTGGCCATAAAGCTTATTTTCCATACAATCGCTACACACTATATCACCGACAGCTTTCTGTGATGCTGATTAGTCGGTCGAGTCCGGGAGCTTTCCCAATTAACATCTCGACGAGATTTGATTGACAGATAAACCCACTAATCAGCGAGCGTCATTTAGTCATGTGATCAAAAACTTTTTCTCAGACATTTTAATTTCCTTAGACAGCTGGTTTAAACACGAAACATACGTGAGCCTAGGCCTAAATGTCTATGCTTGGTTATAGATACCCAGATTTACATGAGCAGTGCGCATTAGTGACTTGGCCTTTGCCGACAACAAGGTTGACTGAATGCGGCTTTTCCCTCTTCCTTTGGGAGCGAAATACAGAGGCTTTTACAGCAATTTCCCCGCCATGTTCCATGAAATAGATTAACACTGTGAATATATGATTCATTTGCATACCGCCTACCCTGAATTCTCTTTCTTAAAGAAGGTTGATAGCAAAGAAAACCTGCGCCAACTCGGTAAGTCTAGCCGCCATTGTCAAAGGTTTTTGTGACTTTGTGGGTGGGGCTTCGCGTTTGTCGACATGTCAATTACATTGGGGACTGCTACGCAGTACTGAAAACACTGTAGCATGAGCGTAGAGAGATTATAGAGAGCGTAGCGATTTTATGACAACCAGGCTTTACCTCCCCTCAAAATGAAACTCATGCTGTACAACAACACTAACATCCACAGGTCGTTGGCCTTTGAAATGGTATGAATATTATAGAATATTTTTAAGTACAGTATATTTGTTTATATTAATACTGTATTTGCATGTACACTGTTGCTGTTTATAAGGCATTGGCCATTACCTGATGAGAGCTGTGCTATAAACAAAGCATTGTTAAACAATTTCATCCACAGGCCGAGCAAGCAGGTCGTTGGCCTTTGAAGTGGTATGCACCAGAGTGTATCTACAAGTTTAAGTTCAGTAGTAAGAGTGATGTTTGGAGTTATGGAGTTACTTTATGGGAAGCAATGTCCTATGGAAAGAAGCCATATGTTGTAAGTAAAGGCATATTGTTTGAGAAATAATAATTATTATTATTTTAATAATATGATTATTGTTGGTAAATATAAGTTATTGTTAAATAATTATTGGTGGAAAAATGTAGGGCTGTCCCTTCCATAGCATAAGAGTACATATACTGCACAGGTGGGCAAAGTGTGGCCAGACAGCGATTTTTAGTGGGAATAAAGTGGTGCTTGGAGGTTTTTGGAAGCGCACTGGAAATATCAAAGTTTGGGTGTAGCCCTCTGTGTTAAATCAGAAATTCACTTTAGCCCTCTGACCGATTGTTATGCCCACCCCTGATAAATTGTCTACTTCCTTCCCCTAGCGTATGCTTTGTACTCATGAAAATTATGAAAAACATGGATGACACCTTAATACTGTACAAGTTTTGAAAACGTTAGAACTATAGCCGGGCACTCGCTGTACCCAATTGCCGTTGGCCAGCGCGATTCTGTGGAGATCGAAGCGTGGCGACGCACACGCAAAAGATCGTTTTTAATGACGATCAGCTCAGACTGATGCCAACAATCAGCAGACGGCGTTACATGGACTAGCGCTGATGGAGCACAGTTAAATTCGTCGTACGATAGTCGTACGGCAGTCATACAAATGCAGTGAGTGCCCAGCTTAAGCCTCCAGTTTGTTTTTCTATGTCTGACACTTCTTTGCAATTTCCCAATTTATACAATTTTCTATCAAATCGTCCCTAACTATTTGTTTCGTTTTTTTTTTTTCGTATATATTTAGTTGACTTAAAGAAAACAAAACTTCAATACATATAAACGGTTGGGGAAAGATTCACCTTCCCCCGAAGAAAAAAAAAGTCATGAATTATATATTAATCATATTTATTAATAAGCACCATATATGGATCATTGAATCATATAAATCATCTATATCCATATGGTTTATTTTAAAGAATATGAAAGGCCAAGAGATTCTAGATATGATTGAAAATCACAAAAGACTGGATTGTCCTGAGGCCTGTCCTGAAGATGTCTACAACTTAATGTTAAGTTGTTGGGAGTATGAGTAAGTATTGTTGATGTATTTTTAATTTATGAGGTACCATTTGGGTGGTCACAGTGATTCTCTTGCACTAGGCACGATTTGACCTGATCAGGGAAATGAACGTTCCTGCCCAACGATGAGTACTCCTAACCGTGTATAGAAGAGTGCCCGTTAAGGGTCCCACCCTTAGGTGACTGTTAGTCAATTATAAAAAATATAAAATACAAAATGATCTCTAAAGAGCTGTGTATATGTCAACCATTTTCATAGTCCATGACATCCAAGTGTCTTCAACATGATGACGGCTATTGGAACAAGTAAAAAGTACCGTAAATGCTTTAATAAGCGCCGCTCTCGAATAAACGCTGCACCAATCCTGATTTTTTTAAGCTAAGCGCCGCTCTTGAATCAGTGCTGCTGCGCTTAATCGAGAGTATATAATATAATGAAACACTTTGAAAAACAGTGTTTAAATACAATGTATACAGTGTTAAAATGAATAAATAACACAATGAAGGCACAAGCGTTTCTTTATAAACATTTATTTACAATGACCTAGGGCCTATGATACGGCTACTGAACTTCAGGGATATGTGAGATAGGTAATATGGGAACGGGCATCAACAAATATTTTTTTATAAGCGTGCTCTCGAATAAGCGCCGCAGTGAAGCCTCCAAAAACGTTATATTTGAGCATTTATGGTTTGTAACTTCATAGCTGAAAAAAAGATTGAAGGGATAGTTCTTCAATTCTTCATTTTTTCATTTATTTTTTGGTTATTATTTATTAATTATTTTTCATTTTATCTTATTTTTAGTTATTATTTATTAATTATTTTTCATTTTATCATTTCATGAGGATTGTACGTTATTGTTATTATTATTATTATTATTACTATTATTATTTTATTATTATTATGTTGTAATGATGTTGTTTGTACTGTTTTAAAAAAATTTTATTTAAGAGGGCCCCTTAATATCAGTTAACCTACTGGGCTAAACTGGAAGGATTACCCTCTTTAAAGATGGTTGAAATAAAAAAAATAAAAAATTTATTTTTAGTTATTATTTATTAATTATTTTTTATTTTATCATTTATTTACTTATTATTTTTTAATTGTTTTTCATTTCATCATTTATTTTTAGTTATTATTTATTAATTATTTTTCATTCTATTATTATAACCTGCCGATCTTCTATTAACACAGAGCAAAGGATCGATGTTCATTCAGCAAGATTGCAGAGACAATGAAAGATATTCTACTAAAGTTGAAGACGGGCACGTTGAAAATGAGATAACCTGAAATAGCATTCATCACCATGGTGATAGGTAAATCAAGTATAGAGGGCAGTATTACCATCAACACTCTTCGAGGCCTATGCAGGCAGACAGCCTTCTCAAAATGTTCATTTACTGTACTACCATGTCCAACCTCTTAGTATGTGGTGGTTATTTAGTATGTAAGTTGTATATAGGTTCTTCTACATATAAGTGTCCACAATACAAGTAAATGATATGGTCTTACCATACACGAGAAAATTAGGATGTCTAAAGCCAGGCAGGACACAACGCTGTCTACTGACTTTCGGTGGCAGTCTGAACGGATCCGTTGTGAGCGTGTCGTGGCGTTTCGTCCTCCATAGAATGCCTGGCTTACTGGGCAAAGTTTTGTACATCAATTAAAAAAAAAAAATACTTGTAAATCATTCTTAATTGTGGATAAAAAATTATGTATTTTTGTAAATTCAAAGAACTTCCAGCTAGGAACCAATTTTACTCATAAGTCAATGAAATAGAAAACCCTTAACATTTTATACCATTTATGAAATACATTGTCAGGAAAAGATATATATTTATACCCAACTAGATTGAGAAGGATGTAGGTAATGATTTTTTCCCCCTTTTGTATGATATTTAGAGAGGTTTGCGTAATATTTAATTCTTAACTGAAAGAAGACCTCGTGCCTGATCTCTTTAAAAAATGAATTCCAATTTTCATACATAAGGAAATATAATTTTTTTAAAGAAATTATTTCTACAGTTGTATTTTATATGGTGACCCCCCCCAATAGAGAGCCCACTTGGAATATTTAATCTGAATTTAATGACAATTTAAACATGTTAGATAACTTTTTCTGATGTAGATTTTATAAATTGATATTTGGTTTAAGTATAATGCAACATTTATTTGTTTGCAATTGATAAATTAAAAATAGAGATATAGTAATAATAATTATATGTTAATAATAACAATAATAATAATAATTATTAATAGCGATAATTAAGTTTTGATTTTGTATAGCGCCCTCAATTGTTGGTAGTTCTCATTCAAATATGTGAGTTGACTTTTGATAAGAGAAGTCAGTTTGCAAATGGAAGTCTTCTCTTGTAACTGTGCAGCAACAGCATTAGGAAACCATATGTGAGCTGTTGCATGTGTCAAGTGCATTGTGCTTTACAACTTGTTGAGGTTCATGAGCTATGTTGCTAATTCTAATCGCATTTTATGAGGTGTCATAACAAAATGTGACTGGCTCTGGCCAAAACCAGCCGTTTGTCAAAGAAAAATTAAAAATTTAGTTTTTTGGTAGCTTTAGTTTCTGCATGCATTCTTCTTTAAAACAGTGTTTGTTATTATTATTATTTATATAGCACCTTTTCTTTGTAGATACAAAACGATTCTTTTCCCTTGGCATTGGGTCCACATGATTAAATGTTGCTGCTGATAATCAGCACAGGAGCAGGAAACCCCACCAGGTACCCATTTATACTCCTGGGTAGAGAGAAGCAATATAAAGTGACATGCTCAAGGACACAACAGAAATGTACAGTGAGGGATTGAAACTCCGACCTCGGGGTTGGGAGACTAAACCGTTCCCGCTGTGCAACAACATTTAAAGGAAATTAGTTAGTGAATCTTTTATTCATTGGATATCAGTCACGTAGCTTTTGAGAAAACAACTTTCAATGATTCCAAAATCAATAGTTTATTAAGATTTCTATTTTTTTTTAAATAATTTACTTTTGTTAGGTTGGATTTAGTGATTGAAATTTTGCAGAAATATTCTTCAATATATCTTCTTTTATAAAATGCAAAAACCTGAAAATGTTCAAAATTCTGATTCTTGAATGTTTTGGATTTACTTATAAGAAGAGGGCATTTTATATTGATCTGGATCAAAGACTAGTGTTGTCGTTTAGGCATGCACATGAGTGTGAAGGAATTAGATGCTTTAATCGTATTTGAATTCCCAACAAAGCCTCAGTGGCCTAGTCGGTTAAGGTGTCAGCATAGATAGCAGAAGGTCCCGGGTTCGATTCCTGGTTGGGGCACCTATTTTTTTTCGCACAAGCAGATTCCTCTTCTTTAAGGTTTAAACATTTTTTATATATATCTACACTGCGTTACCACAAGAATATTTAGAGTTTATCTTTGAAATATCATTATTTTATATATAATCAGAGCAGTCTGCTTTAGAAAATATCCTTATGTTGATACAATGCAGCAAAATTCGATTTTATACCATTACATGATATTAATGTGAAACTATGTTGCCAAACTTTAGTACAGCATTGGAACGTTAACATTAACATTACCATTTAGAAGCTAATACGTTTCTGAAATGTACATTTTTTTTAGTATATGATTTTATCTTAGATGTTCATTAGAGAGTAATTTTGATATATGTGGTATGTATAAGGACAATATAACTTTTTAAAATAATTTACTGAAAATCAAAATTATGAATAATTTTACTAAGGACTCCAGCATTAGTCTAGTTCATATACTATTTACCTGAATGCTCGCTTGAAGTATTGAGTTGTAATTGAAGGTTTGAGCTTATAATAACCCATCCAATACAGTAACTAACATTGAGGCTCTACAAGACCATTAAGGTGTACGACAAAAAAGTATGTTTGTAGATGTATAAAATGTTTTGTCATTATGAATGTGAAAAAGATGCATATAAGGCACTTAGACATTTATTATTAGTTTGTTTTTCTTTCCTTTTTCAAAAATACATCATTGATGACCATTTTTGTCTTGTCATTGCCTTATGCAATACCTTTATGAAAACAAGTCCAAATTTGAAAATCCATGATGGCGTAATAGCTTAACTGGTAGAGCATCTGAGCTGTAATCGTCAAGTTTTGGGTTCCAATAAATGGAAACAAAACATTGAATAAAAAATGTCATTTTTTATTTAGCCTGTATGTTGTTATTAACTAGTTTTTTTTCATCAATTTGTAAAAGTTGTGTAGTTTTGTGTTCTTTTTATGTACTTTAGGTTCCTATTGAAAACTAAAACTCATGTATTATATATTTCTAACATGGATGGAAATGGAAATGTGTCAAAATTTTTATTAAGAACTACTTCTTCCTGTACACTGTATTGTATTTAGGTGCTGAATTTTCTATTTAGTTCGCCTTCATCAAGTTATGAGTTACATTATTTAAATTGTGTTCTTTTTATGCATTTTAGTTTTTCTTCATCAAGTTGTGAAAGTTGTGTAGTTTAGTGTTATTTTTGAGTATTTTAGGTTCCTACTGAAAACTAAAACCCATGTATTATATATTTCTAACATTATGGAAACGTGTTATAGTTGTTATTGAAAAATATTTCTTCATGTACACTGTATTGTATTTAGGTGCTGAATTTTATTTTTTTAGTTCGCTTTCAAGTTATGAGTTATGTAAATTGTGTTCTTTTTATGCATTTTAGGTTGTCAAGTTCTATCAGAAACTTAATGGTGTAATTTTCCCAATATTATGGCAATTTAATTTTTATTGAAATATACTTCAGTTTTCTTAATTTGTTGCAATTAACATTTCTTTCAGTTGATTTTTAATGCAAACATTGTATTTATAGAATGTGTAATATACCATAGGACAATTTATTTTATAAAATAATTATAGGTTAGATATTTTGTTTTAATTCTTTTTTTAAAATCTGTTTTTATTATTGTTCTTGTAGTCTCAGTGTGTGTAATTTAGATTATGTTAAAAACATGTTAAGCCTGGTTTTCATAGAATCGCTACACAGTCGCTAAAGCATTTTCCGGCAATCCCTTCGTAGCTGTCCTTGATGCAATCGGAAATGCTTCCTGGTTCAACTGACCAATCAATTGTTGCCAAAGGAGTCAGCGATAGCAGGTAGCGAATTCTATGGAAACCAAGCTTTACCTACCAAAAATATGATAAAGAATTGGAAATGCGTGTCTTGTCAACATGTAGTCTACAAAGCTGTATTTCTCAATTTATGAACTTACATGTACAGATTAGTGGATGGTTTGTTAATAAAATCAATTTCAAAATATTTCGGAGTTTGCACATATATCAGTCCTGTTAAAAAAATTCTACAGTATTTGTATATTTTGGATCATTTTACGTTATCTCCTTTGGATATTATAAGTGGTAATGATTTTGTTTCATTGTGCATTACTAAATATTTTCGTGATTTTTGAACATATTAGATAACTAGATTCAATCGTTTTAATCCGTCGGCTAAAATTAAAATTGGATAATGTACCTGTCCAAGATGTGGATTATGACATATTTATCGACACTTTGTTATGTGGCTTGATAACTGATTGCACATTTACTTACGGTACTCTTGTACAAAATTTAGCTGCCGGTACACAGTTGTCGACAGCTGCATGGAAGTGATGCATTCATCGAAAGTAGTCATTTTAACCTCTGAAGATGATGCTTTGAGAGTTGTGTAGTTGTTTGAGTAGTAGTCAATTTTTCAGGATGTGTCTGTAGCCCGACTACACTAAACTGGACGCTTCATCTTGTGATTGTGATTCACTTCATCCGGAGTTAACTTAGAGCACCATCATCTGCCAATTCCAACTCGCTTAGAAACCAGGGTTCACTGATAAATGAAGTTAAAATCAGAATCAAAATTATTTGCTTTTACGGAAATTACATTGTCGTTTAAAGCTCTTAATGAACATAACGTTGTAATATACAATTAAAATATACAGTTTACAACACAGTTATTTTCAGAACTATCTATATGATGTACCGCAAGCATTAATATATAATGAATTATTACTTCGCCATGCAAATCTTTAACGATTAAAATATAGTTGTGACATTCGTACATAAGACACATATAGGCCTACTATAACCTACTCTTTTACATAGTACAGTATTACAGAGTATACGTTTGAAGTTAATGATATACGGATAGAATATGATATAAAATAGTTTAAAAACCATGACCTACGCATACAGTGGCGTACCAAGGGGGTGCTGCTCGGGGGCACCCCCATCCCCTCCAGAGGTTGAAAAGAAATTGAAAATGCCTATTTTAGTATGTACAAAATAAATTACGTAAACTTTGTACCATTTTCTCACCTTAGCCTCAACCATGATGGGGCTCAGGTGGATATAGTAATTTTCGTAGATTGTATGTACAGCTAGTGCCATTTTCAGGCATCCATAATGCAGGGGCGGATCTCGTCCCGCAAGAAAGAGGGGGCATGAATGTGCGAACTGAGTAAGACGTTTAGGGAAGAGCCCCTGGTAGAGCAAAGGGGGTTCTAATCATCCTTAAACCTCTAGCACCTTTATTAATTAAATGTTGATTTGATTGATTGTTATTATTGAGCTTGGTAATTTTTTTGATAAGCTTAGTCTAAAATTCTTAAACACTTTTCACCTGAGCCCCAACCACTTTCGTA